ACCAAAAGGACCATATTACTGTAGTTCTTATGTCTCTACATTTGTTGCCCTAAGCCACTAAATTCATTTTAAGATTTTTATGACTTACTTACAAAACCATACATGGAGCTTTCCCTAATTATATTAACCTCCTAGGACCTGCGTCCACATATGTGGACATCACATTTTGGGTTATTCAGACCAAAATACTCAATTTTGCTCAACAAGGGCCTGATATCCACTTACGAGGACATTATACTGCTACTGTTCTATCAAAGTTTTAAATGAATATCCTCATATGTGGCTCTGATTTTTCTTAAAAACAAAAATAAGGTAAAAAAAAAAAAAAGAAGAATTCTTCGTTTTGACATTCATCGGGCCCCAATCAGCCCAAATATCAAATAGAAATTAAAAATGCTGCAGTGGAAGAGTTCGGGTCTTAGGAGGTTAATGCTATGCTAAAGCAATTTAACACTTTAAGACCTCTTAGATCAATGGGAACTGTATGGTAGTGGTGCTTAGTGCGAAGTCAAAACAAGGAGAAGCATTTAGTCTTCAGCGTAGCGTCTTAACCCTCTCCAGGCAGGCGTTGCCGATTTGCAACAGTTAAAAACTAACAACCTGATTATCCCACATACATATTTGATGAGGTTTTTTTACTCAGAAGTACCACTGCAGGACTTGGTTGTGCATTAGCAACAGAAAGTTTAATTTGAGCCTGAGAGGGATAAACCAACGGCCTATTAGTCAAAAATGTTGCACAACAACTACTCCAAGAGATATGTTGAAACTGAAGGCTTTTATCATTATACCCCAACAGTGAACAGCAGACATCTTGAAAGTTCAAGGTTTGGGTCAAATATAAAGGAAGGCATGACATTAAACCATAAATAGTGATTGCTGCCTCACTGCAGGCGATGAGCACGGAGATAATCTACTCCATTCTTATGTCTGATCATCTTCCTAAAGCTACTAAACCACTCATCACTATCCAACGCCAACTCGGCATATGTCTCCCCGATTAGATTGGCCAAAGAGGATTACGCACTGTCTAGTAGATGCAGTCAGGTTTACCAATGCTATTCGCTTGACTGTCCAGGGGCATTAAAGGCATGGCAAGCATGACATCTATAAACAGTAAGTTGATTTCAAACCTTCATTACTAAAGATTTCCCTGTTTCTAGCTTAAAATGAAAGGCACTGAGGGGTTT